GGAGCCTAAGGGGTGTCGGTTGCAGATTGGAGGAAGGGGCGTAGCTTGCGATGGGAGGAACTTGTGATTGGCTGCGATCTGTGATGGGAGGGGCTTCTCTTTGGGGTGGGGTCTGTGTGGGCGGGGTTTGTTTGGGGCTAAGGTGCTGGGGCAAGCTTAGGGGCGGGGCTTCTGTGCAGGCCGGGGTCTGAGTGGGCAGGATTGACAAATGGGCGTGGCTAGCAGGCATGTGTGGTGATGGGCGTGGCTTGTGTGGTGGGAGGAGCCTGAGACGGGGGCGGGGCCGGGGCGTAAGCCGGTCATGCGGAGGGAATGGACTCCTGGGCTGGGGCTGGGCACTGGGTGTGCCGGGCGTGGGGTGTGCAGGGTGTGCGGAGCACTGGGTGTGCAGGGTGTGAGGGGCACTGGGTGTGCGGGGCACTGGGTGTACTGGGTGTGCAGGGCACTGGGTGCCAGGTATGCAGGGCACTGGGTATAATGGGTGTGTGGGGCACTGGGTATGCGGGGCACTGGGTATGTGGGGCACTGGGTGTGCAGGGCACTGGGTGTACTGGGTGTGTGGGGCACCAGATGTGCCCAGTATCAGGTGGTGTGGGTGTGCAGGGCACTGGGTGCACTGGGTGTGCAGAGCCCCAGGTGTGCCAGGTGCTGCGTGTGCTGGGCACAGGGTGTGTGTGGCTCCTGGCTGTGCCGGGCTCCGCTTGTGCCAGGCTCTGGGTACCAAACATGCCCCACAGGGTGTCGATCGTGAGCGAGGCTGGGCAGGGCACCCTGACAATCCGGGACGTGAAGGAGGCTGATCAAGGTGCCTACACCTGCGAGGCCATCAACACCCTGGGCATGGTGTTTGGCATCCCTGACAGCATCCTCACCGTCACCCGCCCCGGTGAGCCACCCCTCCCTGCTCCGTGCCACCAACCCCACCGTGGCACTGTCACAATCACCTGCCGTCTCATTTCCCACAGGGCCGTGTCCCGAGGGCCACTTCCAGGTGACAGGGACATCCCGCTGCCTGCCCTGCTTCTGCTTTGGTGTCACCACCTCCTGCCGTGCCACCACCCGGCACCGCCACCGCCTCCACCTGCGCTTCAACCGCCCCGACGACTTCAAGGGTGAGCTGTGGGGACAGGGGACAGGGGCTGGGCAGGGGCAGAGGACGCAGAGGGGCTGAGCATTTTCCTTGCAGGTGTCAATGTGACAGTGCCAGCAGCGCCATCAGCACCGGTGCTGTCGGCCACCCAGCTCCACGTGGATGTGGGCACTGAGGAATTCCAGCTGCTGGACCTGTCCCGCCGCTTCCTGGCACTGGATGCATTCTGGGCACTGCCAGAGCCCTTCCTTGGGG